CAGCTAAATCGGTTCAGCCGTTCTTGAGTTATAAGTGGTGTAACAATAACACATCTTTCTTTTATATATATAGATTAATAGATATATCAAAAATATATTCTATATTTAAACGTATACTTTCTTAATAGAAATGTATCTTTGTATTAACCCATTTCGCAACACACGGCTAGCTGTGAAAATTTTTTAATATTCAAAGAATATTTTATACTTTTTAGTTAAAGATAAAGTGAGAGTTATCTTTCAAATACTATGGAAATTTCACCGTAAAATTTCAAGTCTGAAATTGCCTGGTACCTAATGGGTTAATGTATCTTCTCAAAAGAACAGCAATTAAGAGATTATTAAGTAATTACATTAGCGAAAATTTCTTGATTTTATTATTTTTATTCGTTTGCCGCAAACTAAACATAAAATTAAAGAAATTAGATTTAAAGCATTGAAGAGAAAAATTCTTCAGAAAATCTATGGTCCCTTGCGCGTTGGCGACAAGTATCGAATTAGATGGAACGATGAGCTGTATGAGGTATACCGCCACATTGACATAGTAAAGTGCATAAAAATTCAACGACTTCGCTGTCTTGGTCATATCGAGCGATAGGAAGGAAGTGCTCCGGCGAGAAAAGTGTTTGATTCGGTACCCGTAGGTGAAAAACGCGGTAAAGGACGTTCGCATATTCGGTAAAAGAACCAGGTGACCAACGACTTGCGGGCGCTCGGTACTATCAACTGGCGACAGCAAGCAATTAATCAGACTGACTGACGGATGCTACTCGACGCGGCGAAGGACGACTCACGTCTGACGACTTCTGTCAGTATTGTTCAACTAAGTAAGTAAGATTTAAAGAAGTACTGAATATGTAGTGCATTATAAGTCGAAATTTATCCCTCTCTAAATCAAAAAACAATCGATTTATAACACAATATGTAGTAAATATATAATACAGTAGCAGTCGTCAAATATAACTAAAACATATTTTAACAAACAACAAAATTTCTTCATTGAAAATTTTACACAAAGCGTTAAACGTGTTAAGATTTATATAATTCGTTATATAAAACACTCAATATTATAAGGAATACTTGATAAAAAACGTATATAAAAGAAAATAGGGGTATTCACTTTATCTTGCAAAGTCATTACAAGGTGCACGAAATGCAGGTATGCTAAACTAAAATTGCAAGAGCGCGAGAACAGCTCTGTTGCAGAATTGCAACATCAAAATGAAACAGCTGTTTTTACAGCATACCACGTCCACATGAAAAACAACAAATGTCAAAACAGCTGTTTTTTGCTTTATTGTTTCGTTTCAAGCTATAGTTTATGCATGGGTTTAGGTATAACAAAATTGCAAGCAGCAAGAAACTTTATGCGCGTATTATGTTATTGTTCATAACAGGCTCGTGCAATCTGTGCATTTCGTGCACCTTGTAATAAGTTTGCAAGACAAAAAGTAATTTTCAAAAACAATAAATAAAATTACTACACGATATATGATTTGTGTAACATATTCATTTTCTGATTTAACGAAAGGTTTATTGTACCATCCATGGCTACTGCATAATGTTGCCAAAATGAAGCAATTGAATATATGGTTGGAACTGCTTGGTACATTAGATTCTATCAGGATTCTTTCAGTCAAGAAAACATATGAACCAATTTTTTCATTTGTGTTGGCGTCCATACTTCCAACTGGAGTGCCATCACCCTTATGGACCCATATTAACGCAAGTGGTTATAAATCAATGCTCTCAGTTTAGTCACTGGTGATATTTTCAAACAACAAAAAATCATAAATAAATAAAGGATGACATCAAAGTGGAGTAGAATGTATGTGTTAAGTAACAAGCGTCTCTTGTTAAGTCCAATCAATACTAAGTGGTTATAAATTAATGCCCCCAGTACATTGCCTTTAGCAATGCTCCGACAACAGAGATGTTTAGTCACTGGTTATATTTTCAAACACCAAAAAATCCTAATACGATAAGATAAATATAATAATGATAATAATAATAATAATAATAATAATAATAATAATAATAATAATAATAATAATAATAATAATAATAATAATAATAATGGTAAACAAAATGCAACAATACAATTTTTGTTTTGGAATTTATCCTACACACAAAGTAACGCTTTTTATTTACATACTTTTGAGTGCATCGACTTACTGTTTATGCTGATTTAACTATGGATACCCTAGTCTAGCTGCACACACAGCATTCTTTGTTTACTTGATCAACAATGTTGCGTTAATGATTCATCTTGAAGAAATTAACTTAGATAAGGCAAACACCACCACACTTATCACAAGAATGCAAATCTCTTGGCTTGGTTTGATTAACTGTCGCTGGTTGTAGTTCTTTATGCATAACAGAACGGTTTGCATTTCACAACAATGATAAAACTTTTGCACTTATAGATACCAGAAAACTATATGAGAACAAAATGAAATCAATTGATATGTTGTATATACTCTCGTAACTATATTGAATCTAAAGTATTGTAGAGATAGAGATGTTTATTCCCTACCTAATATATAATATAATATTGTGTTGTATATAACTACATGGTCGGTCGTTAGTCTTTTGCCGATGTCACGCAATAATATGAATACATGTCATTAGAAATTTTAAAATGATTCATATGTATAGGGTATCACAACGAATCATGACTTGAACTCAAGTGTACTTTGGGCACAAAACCTAACCTAGCCTAACCTAAATGTGTATAATATTAAAAATTTGATAAAAATTTGATTTAAAGGTTTCAAAAAGTAGTTGACGAGGTTTCGTCATATTCACATTAAAATTGCATTAAATTGATAATCTTATTTAAAAAAGAATTAGTTACAATATTAAATGTAATAAAAAAAGTACTACGAATCTAAAATTAAAAAAATAGTTATATAATATATATAATATAGTTAATATAACTATATTATATATATAATGTATAATAATATAATATATAATAATATAATATATAATAATATAATATAATATAATATATATATATTAATATACAAATATATAATATATAATATATATAATATATTCCAAATAAAAAAAAACTATAGATTTTAAATCAGCTATCCAGATTAAAGAAGATGCTACTATCAAAAAAAAAAAAATAATTTCTTTTTAAGCTGCTAAGGTTATAGAAAATAATTTACTTTTCTTCTTCAGCATCAAAGTTACCCTTTCTTAATCGAATATAGTTATATAATATATAATATATATAATATATTCCAAATAAAAAAAAACTATAGATTTTAAATCAGCTATCCAGATTAAAGAAGATGCTACTATCAAAAAAAAAAAAATAATTTCTTTTTAAGCTGCTAAGGTTATAGAAAATAATTTACTTTTCTTCTTCAGCATCAAAGTTACCCTTTCTTAATCTTGCACATACAGTTATATAGCTCTTAAAAAATACCTGCAGATATCACATTAGTTATCAAAATCACTATCAAAGAGAAAAAAATTTTTTTAAACCGCTTATTGTTATAATAATTGACTCTTCTTCTTTCTCAGCGTCAAAGTTATCTTACAAAAGTCTAAAATTCTTAGGCGGCAAATATCTGTTGATTTCATATATTTCTCTCCACCATAAACCAATCTATAAATGATATTTTTTGTAGTCAAGAATATAAAAAAGAAATCTTTTGGAATTAAAAGGACTCATTTTTTTCCTAGCTCTCTAATAGAATGTCAATAGAACTCTCACATAACTAAAGCCAATGGACTAACTAATAAATTACAATTCACTAATAATGGCGGTGTTCAGATACCGATTGGTTCAGATTATTGGTATAATCAATAGCATTAATTTGTTATCAAATTTAAGAAGATGGGAATTAGCCAAGCACACGGCACGTAAGCATAAATATTTCAAAAACTTATCGTTGAACTTTGGAGTGTAGTCGGCGCCATATAGCACAACGCAGGAGTATTACTTTAATTCACAAAACAAAACAAAAAACTCTTTTTCGCATAAATTAATTGCGTCTATTTTAATTTTGACTTTTCTATAAAATACTGCCTACTTATTAATAATATCTACATATATAATTGTAAGAATATAAGAATCCATATTAGAAAGGAACCACTCTTCTTAACATCATAGATATTATAAAATTATCAAAAATTGTTTATTCATTCATTAAAACTGTGTTAAAAGCAATATCAGGATTTCCAATGCCTCTTATCATTACTATGTTTTTCTGACTCATTTTCTATGGGAACCTATTTACTTTTATAACGCATATATATAATTATGCGAGTAACTCAGTTATATGCTTAGTGTTATCATTTAATGAGTCAGAATGAAAACAAATTAAAATATGTCTGGTCGAATATTAACTATAAAAATTATCTATTTAAGATTGATAATTAAATTACTAACATACATCATCACCCTTTGTTTTTTTAGTCAAAAGCAAGAGAACAAAACAGATAGTATCAAAAATCCTTAATAGATAAGTGTACCAACTACTAAACTAGTGAATTTGGTAACCAAAATAATATAATTAAATTAAAGTATATATACATACATTATTTAAAATAATTTGTTTAAATATACAGTAATATATATAGAAATTGAGCGGATTCGGATAGCGACAAATGAAGACATACCACAATAGCACATGAGTTTAAAAATAAATTGAAAATGGAACACCAGAACAACGTGAACCGAAGTCGCATAGCCTCCATGCTATATCCCTGCGGAGAGGGGACAAAGAATACTCCCGCGGTTAGAATTGCCAGACTAAGTATCCCCCAGTGCCAGTCTGACACTTATGCATGAAGTGTAAATGGTAGTGAGTTGAGTGGAGTACAACTTGCGACATCTGACCAGAGATGATCCGATCCTGTACTTCGGGGGTCAGTGGCCCGACAGCTTCGACTGTGCTGACCATTGGTGTAGGACTCGAAGTGGCTGATGGTAATACCCAAAAATACGCGGGAAGAAAGATCGTTGGTACAAGCATATCATTCATTCGCCGTGGAGTGCGTTTCAAACCGGGTGCTACAACCCACATTGTAGCAGAGATTTAGATGGTTCTCAACATCTAAACAAGGTGAAAGTTAATACATGCATGAATTTCTTTAATTGGTACCGGCGGAATCACCAATGCGATTCCAATGGGGCGTTGCTTGACGCTTAAATTAATACGTGTTTTTGAACACCGTGGCTTTAAGTCTCCACGACATAGAAAGCCATGAAAAAATAACAAATAGAGACAGCCTCAATGCTAGTTCGAAGTAAAAAATATTTATATTATTCCGATAATTTCAACATCAAGAACAATACTAAATTTATTAAAACACAACAGAAAACTTCAAATAATAAGTGTTTTAGTACAGATTTTGGCGGTGAATCAAACTGACGATGGAGTGCCGGTTCGAAAATATAGAATAAATATGGCGTGAAGTAAATATCCTATCCTGATAGGTAAACCTGTCAGGGCTATACCCTGTTCTACCCAAGTATTTAATCTTAAGAGAGGCGAAATTTTTAGCAGGTCAGCGGGTTTCCCAATGATTGTGTCAAGACATTTTTTTCTCAGCCTCGAATAAAAAAAGAAATAAATGTGGAGCTAATAAAGTGGGTATTAGTACTTTATATATTTCAGCTTTATCTCTCATCTATAATTTGTGAGTACAAAACTTTTTATTGACTTTTTTATGCGTTTTTCTGTGTCAGTTATTAAGTTTATTTAAACACGTAAGATACCAAAATAAAATTACGAAACACAAAATACTAAATATTAATGTCGTTTATGAGCTTAAAATGTTTTACTTTTTGTCTAAAGTTTTACTTATTTTGCAATAATATTTTTATTTTTTGTACTTATTTAACTTTTGTAAAAGGTGTTTAGAGGTCATTGAATTATAAATGCGAAAACAAAACAAATATTGAAACTCATTTTAAGATACGCAGATACAGTTTTTTTGCCGGTTTATCTAACTCTAACTAGCCTCAAGCCAAATTAAAAACTTTCGGAAACTAATTCAAAACTCAGTGTTTGAAATTATTCATACATAAACATATTTATGTATATATACATATATGTCCATACATATATACGAATAATTTATTTATTCGTATATATATAGCTAAAAGGCTTTCAAATGCAAGTTAAAACGAGTTTTTTTTTTATATTATATCGTGCAAAAAAGAAAATATGGCAAGTTTTTATAAAAAAAATTATAAAATTAAATAAATTTTAATTACAAAAAAAAAAATTGTAATTAGTATGAATTTCGTCACGTAATTTTATAATAAATAGTGTAGGGAATTTTTAATAATCCGTTTAATCTATTTGACTAATTACTTAATAATTCTAACGACATTTTGAGCTTACCATAGTTATTAATATTATTAATAAATAACAACTCATATCACCCAAATAATCAAAATTGAATTAAAAGTTTGTATAATTCGTTATAACATATGTAATGCAATATATGTATATGTATATCTTTATATTTTTTCATACCACTCTACTGTTTATTAAAAAATATAATTCATATATTTAATTAAAAAAATTATAGTAATTAAGAACTGTGTTTTTAATACGTATATTGTATAATATATGAATATGTAGAATATACAGAAAAAACAGAGACTTGCTAACAAAATATAGTACTAGTAAACACACGAACAATAGAAGCAGGTGTACCTCAAGGGTCGCCACTTTCACCCACATTGTTTAATATATATATACGGCAGACATCCTCCATCCACCTTAAGCCCAGTGTCAATGGCGCTTTATGCAGATGGCACATGCTTGATCTACTCTGACCGGGATGCCATAAGTGTAAGTAACACCTTACAGAGAAATATAGACCTCATGGTGGAATACTTCCAGAAATGGAAGATTAAAATTAACAACGACAAAACCAAGGCTATATTTATAACACGAAAGAGAAGGCAGCATCCTACAGGTGTAAGCGTCGGTGGCACGGAGATACGGTGAGAGGAAAGCATAAAATATCTAGGGGTCACTTTTCACAAACGGCTTAATTGGTATAAACATTTGAAATGCAAACGGAATAATTGCTCTAAAATTCTACATCTCCTTAAGCCGCTGTTTAATAATAATCGCTTCAACTTCAAAAACTTCAAAAATAAAAAGTTATTGTTTACTGAAATAATTAGGCCAGCACTACTGTACGGATGTGTAACTTACAGCAAAGTCTTAAATACTGCTATAAAGCAATTACAAATAGAAGAAAATCTGGCTTTAAGAAGACTAATTAAGATTCCTTGGTATATTAGAACAACAGACATGCATTGAGATCTAAGAATCGACTCAGTGAAAAAGTATATCAAGGACAGAGCCCTAAAATTATACACAAAAGTTGATACGTTGCCCAACCCCGCTCTAACAAACCTTAAGTACACCTCATGACGCATAGGAAGATATGCTGTTCTACGATCCGTCATCAGTTAGAATATAAATAAATGATAATGCTTCTAGTATAGCTAAAGTTTAGAGTCGGGCAGGGTTAAGCGCCCAGCCACAATAGAGTAAAAGTGCGCAATAGCACTAACTTAAATCACAACAACAACAACTAGTGATAAAAACTTTACTTGTCTAGCAATTTGAAAATATAATTTCTTGAAAGGCGTATACTGTACAGTGATGAGATATATGAAGAAAAATGAAAATGTGGAACAACGTAATGAACGTTTAAGAATTTAGATTATTCGACTAGTTAAAAACCAGAATAAATGGAATATCAAAGCAATGTGCAGTTTGTTATACGTTGAAAGAAGAAAACATTCGAAAAGGTTAACATAAAGAACAGAGAGAATAATGTATGAAAAGAGAGATAGTTTATATATATCAATATATATACATCAATTTTATATTATATCTGTGAGGTGTGGAAAAATTTAAGAAAGAAATATGGAAGAAAAAATAAAAAATATCTAAAAAAATAATAGATTCAGGTGTTTGTAAATTAGCATTAAAGAAATATCAATTAACAATATTTAGCGAATTTTTAGCTAAAACCAAATTTTAAGATATAAGATATAAATGCTTTCATAAAATGAGTTATGTTTTTTTTTTTTAAATTAATGATCTAATTGACTACTTCAAATAATAAAAGCTTTCTTTTTATTTTCTTACGAAAATAAAAATGTTTAAAAATGAACAAATTTGGATTTTTTTTGTTGAAATTGGAGACAACTTTAATGTTTTAATTAATTGCTTTATCTATTTGTAATTTTGTATAATTATTTAAACAACATCAAATTATACTAAAATATAATCAATATTAATATACACGCAATTATTAATTAATGGTATTTATTTCAAATAATTTTGTTCTAACGAAAGCTGCACACAGTTTGCCAACAAAATGTGTCTCAGATATCTATGTACATATATACATAATTATATAAAAAAATTATTAACAATATAAAGTACTTAAACATAAATCTCAATTTTATTGTTCATATTTTTTTTCATACAAATTCATAGATTATTTAATTAAGAGTAATTAAAACAAGAAAAGGAGATAACTATGACTTTGTCGAAGGTTAAATAAAAATTTCATAGAATATTTGTTAAGAATTCATTAATAAAAATATTTTAAATTAAAAAATATAAGCTTATATAACTTATATCAACTATAATATTAATCCTACTAATGACTAATATTTTTATTAATAAGAAGTAAACTGAAAAATTAATCTAATGTGTTCAGGCACTTACTTCAACACCACAATGGGCCAACACACTAAAATGGTTCAATACGATCAGCATAGTTACCTACTGAAAACCGCATCTGAACTAAATTTTTAGCTATAGATTTGGCCATATTTTTTATCAAGAACATAAAATGTGACGCTCAATATTAATTGTCAATAAAATTTTTTTGTTGCTGTAATCCCCACGCCATTACAAAGCGAATGAACAGACAAGGTACCTCTGGAGCACATTCGAAAAAACCCACAGGTCTAGATAAATAAGTATGGATAAATACTAGACATGAAAAATTAAAAATATATAGATATGGTGAACTGATCTAAGTTGTTTCGATCTGTTTAAGTTTAAAATTTAATAAAAATATATTTCTATTCATGGGCGTCAGTGTATGCGCCCCGCCCCCTTAATTTCGACCCTGGGTACGCCCATGTTTCTATTATTATTCGTCTGACTTAACAGCAGAATTATGGACTTTAAAACAGATGAGTTATAGTTAGATCAATTCAACTTATCTTAACGTAAACTTTAAAGTTTCTAACATCTTGAAGCATATATCTTAACAAATTTTTACTTTTTTGAAGTGTACATATATCAACATGAGGGAGCTATGTAATATGTAAATATTTTCTTGACGTCTATTACTTAATTAGAACCCATAATCAAACAATGAATATATCCAATGCAAATAAATTTTAATTAAAAGACTACAAAACTAATTTAAATATTTAATTAAGTGCGCCATAGATAATACCATATATGTATACATATAAGAATAATATATAAATATTAAAAAAAATATCTAAATGTTTGCTTTGTCAATATTAAATAATAACTGCACTTTTTTATTTATTTTTTATTTGATAACATTTTTTATTATTTGTTTGAATATGAGACCTAAGAAGTTTGTGGTATTTATACGACTCATCAATTTTTATTGCTTCAAATAAAATATAAAATTTATATTATAAATCAACAATCCTCCAAAAGCGCAGAAAATTGCAACGATCGCATTTTAGCAAAGTTTTTCGGAGGAATATTAAGAAGGGTTGGTTGCAAATTATTTGGAATATAAAAGCAAATTGGATATTTTTAGATTAAAAACACGTGTCCAGTCACAACTGACGACGTAAGTAAAAATGTAAACAATAACAAATAAGCCATGTGCATGCATGGAGCTGCGCTGAAATGTGCTGATATGTTAATATTTTCTCTCTAAACATGCGCTCTATAGGTTTATACCGTAAAAGGTAGTTGTAGTGATAGTGCAGTGAATATTAAAAATTAATAGTCGACAATAATGTCTAGTAAGGATATAA